GTTTCCTTTCAACTCCACTGATGGTTTTCTCACACAAAAAATTGCGTTATATAGCAAGTGTGACACTCTGGTATTGGAACCTGCGCTCTAGCCAACAGCGCTATCTACGCGCTGTTGGCTAGAGCGCACCTATAGACTATGATGAGATTATTATTATTATTATTATTATTATTATTATTATTATTATTATTATCATTATTATTATTATTATTATTATTATTATTATTATTATTATTATTATTATGGTCAAAAGAGTGAGGTTATTTCTCAAATGGCAGCCAAGCATCGATTATCATGTTACCAGAATAAAACCCTCAATATTTATTGGAAAGGAGCACCAAGCTCATCACTTTGCACTTTCACCACCCTGTGAAATTCATCATAATTTGTTTAATTTGTAGCCTAATAAACTGCATGCTTTCCCGACGAGTCGTACTGGGAGGACCACACAACATGTCATCGCGTGACTCCAAGTTTACTTTGATATGATGGTTATTATATCAATATTTGCGCATAAAAGCGTTTCCACCGACATGTATCGCATAATACATTTTTACTGACACACAAAGATCTCACCTTGGCTAGAATATTCTGTTTTGTGGATATTTAGAAAGTTTACAGGAAAATGGTCTGTTTCCATTACATTTTTTAATATGACATGTACTTTACTCGCATAAAAAGGTTAATGAAAAGCTATTTTGGAGTGTGGCCTATGCAACGTGCGGGTAATTTTCCCTCGTTCCCTTCTTTTTTATAACTACTCTACATGCTGTGGCCATAGTGTATCATGTTGCCATGGTGAGCAGGCCCATGGGGAGGTGGGGCAGAGAGTCCCGTTGACAGTTAATTATCGATGTCAGTTGGTGCTGAGCTCAAACGTGACCTTTGGTAGGACATGGTTACCTGTACAAGGCCAGAGTACCATTATTGGTCCGTGCTATCTGGTTGGGACGTCCCTACCCCATTTAAATTTACATTTTAAATGGGTAAGGGTTATGGTTAAGGTTAGGTTTAGGGTTTATGGTAGGGACGTTCCAAGGATCCCAGATAGCAATGCCCCTCTATTAGTGGGGTGGACTGACAGTTGATCAGTGTCATCTGAGGTGTGCTGTACTCAGGGTTGGGTAGGTTACTTTCTAAATGTAATCTGTTACAGTTACCTGTCCCGAATTGTAATCAGAAATGTAACTTTTGGATTACCCAAACTCAGTAACGTAATCTGATTACTTTCAGTTACGAGGCAAGAGGCAAGGTTAAGAGGCAATAGAAGAAGTCAAAAAGGTGTGTCATCAAAGTGGTCTCTGACTTGTGGTCAGACTCACTCAGGTGGAACGAACTTAAACTTGTACTTTTTGTCAGTGCTCAATTTAATATAATTGAGAAAACAAAGGTGTCATAATGTATGTTTTTGCATACATCTTTTCTGAATTTAAAGGTAATCCAAGTAGCAATCATCTAGTTCTTCAAAAGTATCTGTAATCAGATTACAATATTTTTGCTGCTAACGTAACTGATTAGATTTTTTTGTAATCAGATTACCTGTAGTCAGTTACTCCCCAACCCTGGCTGTACTGAGTAGCCTACAATAGATAGGTGTTAGGTGTATAGTGGTTGTCACTAGGGAGTGCCAATGTCACTGGACGCAATTAGAAAACTTGTTTTGGGGGGAAACTCATTTCTCCCCAAATATTGTGTAGGCTATACTCTTAGCTTTGTTCTCAGACATGTAAGTCTGGCAAGCGAGCTTAACTTTAATCACTGCTAAAGCAGTGGAGGCTGGTGGGAGGGGCTATAGGAGAACGGGCTCATTGTAATGTCTTGAATGGAATAAATGGAACACATCTAACATATGGAAACCACAAGATTGACTCGGTTCCATTAATTCCATTCCAGCCATTCGAATGAGCCCGTCCTCCTATAGCTCCTCCCACCAGCCGCCACTGTGCTGCAGGCTTCTCATCTCTCCTGGCCCACCTATCACACAGTAAATTACTTTCTGCAGCCATCTAGTGGCTATCAAAATTACTGCTAACTGCTTTAGGCTCTTCTATTGAAGACAGTGAATTTATAACCTTTCTATCTAGTCCACTTGCTGGGGTCAGGAATCATCCCATGACCTTTGAGTCTGACATTTGAACAGAAAAAGAGGAGTAAAGGTAGACCTAGAGGGGTGGACTGGCTGGTCCATTTTTTGCCTATTGGGCCTGTCTAACTTTGTTTTATTTTTGTATTTGTATTTTCGAAATGATGATTATCTGGCTAATAATGGGGGCCTCAAGGAATAAAATGGGCCAGTGTGGGGGCCCCAAGGAAAAAAATGGGCTGTTGTGGGGCCCTCAAGGGGAAAAAATAGTCTGGTGTGTTAGAAATGCAAGAGTTTATTTCTGGTCCCAGTCTGCCCCTGTAAACACGTACTCTGTAGGTGTCACTCCTGTGGATCATTGAGCGGCGGGGATGATGATGCATTGGTGCATGATACACTGTCATATCACCTCTACAGATCGATGGTTGAGGGTTGGAAGCTTTTTTCAATAAGACAAGAAGGAGGTAATGACACAGACCTGTCAGCCTAAATAATTTGCTGTTAGTTCCTTATTTTTATTTTGTTTGATCATCTATTCTCTCAATTTTGTTCTATCATCTTTTCTTCTCTCACAATACTGTAGTATTGCTGAGAATGTTACGTGAAAGAAGTAACCTTGTACGCCAGGCTCCTACCCACAACTGGTGAGGGACTTGAGAAACATATTGGCCTGTGTGTGAGTGAATGTGTTTGATTCATGAACATAGCTTCCTAGTTTGATGTTTCCTGTGCAAGCAGTTGTAGACCAATCATTTAAAACTACTGTACGAATTTGCAGTTATTTTACCATGTGATTATAGCACTGTAGTCTGTCTCTAATAAACCTTAATATACAGTCCTGAAAATAAAGAGGTGACCATTTCTGTCCTTCTCACCAGGTGGTGGCACTCTCCTCCCTCTTGTACCTGCTATTCCATACTGTGTAAGGACAAATCTGCGACTGATCAGAAAGTATACATTTGAAGGAATTCTCATCTACAAGCCAGTCATGAGATATGCTAATAACTGTGTTGCTAGAGATACATCCATTTATTTGATCAAAGGAAGGATTAGATATTGTTGGGCAAATGATGACATTTGAAGTGTAAGGCAAAGGGCAACATTTTATTTTATTTTTTTATTAAGTAGGCCTGGGAAACGTAATGGAATCTCTCATTACACATTACACACATCTACTCACACACTCACACATACTTAGACTGACACCCCAACACACACACTACATTCACCCACACACATACCATGCACACACATGCATACTGACACCATACACACACACTCACACACATACGTTGCTGCTACTGTCTAATCTATCCTATTGCCTAGTCACTTGACCCCTACCTATATGTACAGTACATACAGTACCTGCCTCAATTACCTCATACCCCTGCACATCGACTCGTACTGGTATTCTCTGTATATAGCCATGCTATTTTCTACCCCCTGTATATAGCAATGTTATTTTCTCCTCCCTATAAATAGTAATGTTATTTTCTACTCCCTATATATAGCCATGTTATCTTTACTTGTTATTTTTATTTGTTATTCACTGTGTATTTATTCCTGGTGCCACTGTTTCTATTTCATTTGATATTATATTTAACTCTGCATTGTTGGAAAAGGACCCTTAAGTAAACATTTCACTGTTAGTCTACACCTGTTGTCTAAAAAGCATGTGCCAAATAAAATGTATTTGATTACAAACCTAATTTAATACACATACCACCGTTCATCAAAGTAAACTGAAATAAAAATTAATGCAATAAAATAAACCTTCATATATTTCTCTATATTCTTAATTCTCTATCAATAATAGTATTGATTCTAGCATGCCATAGATATTGGCAAATAAAACAAACAAACAAAGCTATTAGTGTAAAAAAAACAACGCCGAAGAGAATCAAATAAAATTGTATTCGTCACATGCTTCGTAAACAGCAGGTGTGGACTATCAGTGAAATGCTTACTTACGGGCCCTTCCAAATAATGCAGATAGAAAAAAAAGAAGATAAATAATATAAAAGTAAAACACGTAATAATAGATACACAATGAGTAACGATAACTTGGCAATATACAAGGGATCCCAGTACCGAGTCGATGTGCAGGGTACGAGGTAATTGAGTTAGATATGTACTGTACATAAAGTGACAGATAGTAAACAGAAGCAGCAGTGTATGTGATGAGTCAAAGTTAGTGCAAAAAGGGTCTGCAGATAGTCCGGGTAGCTATTTGGTTAACTACTGTATTTAACTAACAAGTGGGGTGGGTTGTCAGATAGTGCGACTGGAGCAAAAGGAGATTTAAACATTTTGCAAATCAAAACAAACTCCTAGGGGTCTGCCTAATTTTGGGGAGGGACAAAATGCGAGGGAACAGGAGGACCGAACAGAAAATAGTCCAACACATGGAGAAGGCATTTGGAATAGTTGAATGAATTACATATGGGCAAGTTTGAAAGTTGACAGACGAATTGTGCAATGCGTGTTTTGCAAGTTATTCTTTTAAATATTGATTTTGTTGGTTTCAGGGTAACTTATCTCATGATGTAACGTGGCTAGCCAGCTAGCTGAAGACTTTGAACAGAGGAAACACGATACAGTGTGAAAGTTAGCTAGCGCTTTAGTGAACTGCCAGCTTTGCTAGACTAGCAATAACTTTTCTCTTTCAGTTTATCTTTACTCTGTTGAACTTGTCTTGAATTTCACGGACAAGCTTGTTGCTAACGGTTTGATACCAGTCACGTTTTACTTTTGTGGTTGTTTGGTAACAGCTAGCTAGTTAAAGTTAGTCAGCCATCAATCATTTGTATTTTTCAACGTTGGACGGACTGAATGTTCACCTTTGGGATACTTAACGTTACTGTCAGTAAACAGCAGCAAGACAACATCAACGTTGTATTTTAAAAAACGGGACAAGATGCAAAAGTTCAACTCGACACACACCAGTACTCTTCCTCGGGACGCTGAGCTTCAGCAGCGGTTAGCCGACAACGGGGGAGCGGGGGAGGCGATGAAGGAAAACGGCGCTGGGAAGAATCACATCCTCGCAGAACCTGCAGACAGTTCTCTCTGTACCAAGAGAAAGATGCTGGTCGGCTTGGATGTTTTCTGTCTGTGTGTAGGTAAGAATGATGTTGAACCCTCTCTTTGCATGTTATTTCACCCTTTCACCCGTTTTATTTGACTGAATCTGCAAAGTAGCAGCATGACATGATTGTCTGCATTACATTAATTTAATTAATAGCCTGTCTCAGTATTTCCATCTTATTTTCGAGGAAAAATGCAGAGGTCAATGTCATTCACATGAATATCACTAATAGTATGCATGCCACAGGATTGGCAATTATTGCACATAAATCAATGACCGCTCACTCTCACTTGTCACGTTGTCCAAGAGATGATATACGACCATTTAATTAAACATTGTATTACATTTATTAGCACCAGTAGTTAAGAAGAACCAACGGCAAAGTGCAACAGGTCTAGCTGTTCAACAGGTCACAATACAATAATAAGTTATTTCAAAAGCCAATTAAGCACTTTACAAAAATGGCAAAAAGTAGTCTGTCTGTATTCTAAGATAAGCACTGAAGAAAAGCTGTCAGGAGAGTTATCCCGGGAATTCTTGAGTTCCCATGACAACCATCCATGGAGTTCTCAAGAAAAGAACATGGGAATAAAACATGTTGCTACCCCCTTCCCTGCTTGTGTTCTAATGCCAAAATTACATTTGTTCATTGTTTGCCTTGCTTCACTACAGCATTATCCCTTGCCAAGTACCTCAACTCCTGAGTTGTTCACAGACTAGAGCTTTTGAAATGAACCTCTGACTCCTTCTGGTCGCTATGCCTCGATACTTAAAACATAATAATCTTAAACCCTTACCTTGTAGGCCTACCTATGTTTGTTTTTGTTTATGTTTGTCCTTTGTTGTGTGCATTTCATTTCTGAAATCCATGAATTTGAATAAAACGTTAATCAAATACAACCACCGACTGTTTCCTTGTTGAGATTCAATTGGCATTCGCGCTGAGTTGCCATCTTAGAGCACCAGCAATGAGGAAACAGTCAGTGGTTGTATTTGATTAACATTTTATTAAAAAGTATGGATTTCAGCAAACGAAGAAAGGCATGCAACAACAGAGGACAAACATAGGTACATGGTAAGGGTTTAAGAATTTAAAATTTTAAAGTATCGTCATATAGCGAGTCTTGGAGGTTAATTTAAGAAACTCTAGTCGAGTTGGACGAGTTGAGGTACTTGGCAACAATATACCTAATGTGTGCAACAAAGTTACTCTGCCAAATTAGGAGGCTATTATATAATTCAGTAAAGCATTGGAGAATGGCCCTACATTTTGAATGCTGATAGGGTTAGCAGTGTTAAGCCATAATGTGGAACATGAGGCAATCTGACAATCACGCACAAACACAGAGGGACTATTGGGTTGCTACTTTGTGGTAGTTATCGTTGGTTACTCAACTAACATGAGTGAAACACAATTGTGTGCCTAACTACACCCCTGAAATGAAATGGGGGATGTCGATCAGCCTCTCTGATGCTGCCTAGCTGGCACCATGTGAGGGCAGGGAAAAGTGGTTTGTTTGGGAGTCGTTATCTTGACACAAACAGGAGTATAAGGCGGAACCCGTCCAGGCAGACAGACAGGTCTGCCAGCGCACCGTTGGCGGTTACAAGCTGCCTGCTGCTGCCCTGACAGACACACTGACAGACAGATTCACTCTCACCACACAGCCTGTTATTCCTCCTTGCCTGCAGGTACGCTATTGTCACCTCCTCTGCTAGCTAGCATGCTTGACACTCACCTAAATGTTTTAGAAGTGGCTGGCCCAGAGTCAGAAGATGGGAAGGAAATATACTTTCTCAGTTCTTCTTAGCTCAGCCTAATTAGAACACGTGGGCTGGTGTTGACTTTCCTTATCCCTGACTGTTTGTTGCATTGCAACACTGGGATTGACTCGATCACCGGGTTGCATGCTTGAAAGAACATGAGTGAGAGGGAGTGAGAGATTTAGCAAGTGACTTTTTAAAGTCTCTCAAGACAAAGGGCAAAGGGACATTGCCAGCGTGGTATGCTTACCATCATCTGGCATCAACATCTTCCCCCATTCACCTCTGGCATCATCATCTTCCCCCATTCACCACCATCACATATTACATCAGCCTTGTTCATTTACTGGTGGTTCTTTCTTGATGGATGTGATTGGTGTCACTATCATCAGCTGTATTGTGAATTAACAGTATGCCTTGTCTCAGGGAGTTCAAACCTAATTTTCCCTAAATGTCAGCAGCAGATTCCTCAGGCTGTTGACCCCTCGTTATCTGCCCCGTCAAGGGACTCATTCATTACTGTCGTTCTGGAATTCCCCCAAGGCATCGCATTCTAATGGCCTTAAGTTAAGAGTGAATCCACTTCTTTGCTCAGTGTGGTCCCCTCTGTCTCAGACAGTACTTTCCTTCTAAGTGTTTACTGCTGTAAATTGAAGTAAACACTTTAACACGGTGGTATGGCATTATGAATGACTGTTAATCAGAGCCTAAAGCCAGGATCACGTCATAACGAAGGCTTTCACTGGGGCTTTGACTTAAATACGTTTCCCACTTAAAAAGATGAGAGAGGCCTGTAATTTTCATCATAGGTACCGTCAACTATGACAGACAAATTGAGATTCTTTTTCCAGAAAATCACATTGTAGGATTTTTAATGAATTTATTTGCAAAATTTTGGTGGAAAATAAGTATTTGGTCACCTACAAACAAACAAGATATCTGGCTCTCACAGACCTGTAACTTCTTCTTTAAGAGGCTCCTCTGTCCTCCACTCGTTACCTGTATTAATGGCACCTGTTTGAACTTGTTATCAGTATAAAAGACACCTGTCCACAACCTCAAACAGTCACACTCCAAACTCCACTATGGCCAAGACCAAAGAGCTGTCAAAGGACACCAAACAAAATTGTAGACCTGCACCAGCTGGGAAGACTGAATCTGCAATAGGTAAGCAGCTTGTTTTGAAGAAATCAACTGTGGGAGCAATTATTAGGAAATGGAAGACATACAGACCACTGATAATCTCCCTCGATCTGGGGCTCCACGCAAGATCTCACCCCGTGGGGTCAAAATGATCACAAGAACGGTGAGCAAAATCCCAGAACCACACGGGGGGACCTAGTGAATGACCTGCAGAGAGCTGGGACCAAAGTAACAAGCCTACCATCACTAACACACTACGCCGCCAGGGACTCAAATCCTGCAGTGCCAGACGTGTCCCCCTGCTTAAGCCAGTACATGTCCAGGCCCGTCTGAAGTTTGCTAGAGTGCATTTGGATGATCCAGAAGAGGATTGGGAGAATGTCATATGGTCAGATGAAACCAAAATAGAACTTTTTGGTAAAAACTCAACTCGTCGTGTTTGGAGGACAAAGAATGCTGAGTTGCATCCAAAGAACACCATACCTACTGTGAACATGGGGGTGTTTTTCTGCAAAGGGACCAGGACGACTGATCGTGTAAAGGAAAGAATGAATGGGGCCCCTATATCGTGAGATTTTGAGTGAAAACCTCCTTCCATCAGCAAGGACATTGAAGATGAAACGTGGCTGGTCTTTCAGCATGACAATGATCCCAAACACACCGCCCGGGCAACGAAGGAGTGGCTTCGTAAGAAGCATTTCAAGGTCCTGGAGTGGCCTAGCCAGTCTCCAGATCTCAACCCCATAGAAAATCTTTGGAGGGAGTTGGAAGTCCGTGTTGCCCAGCGACAGCCCCAAAACATCACTGCTCTAGAGGAGATCTGCATGGAGGAATGGGCCAAAATACCAGCAACAGTGTGTGAAAACCTTGTGAAGACTTACAGAAAACGTTTGACCTGTGTCATTGCCAACAAAGGGTATATAACAAAGTATTGAGAAACTTTTGTTATTGACCAAATACTTATTTTCCACCATAATTTGCAAATAAATTCATTAAAAATCCTACAATGTGATTTTCTGGATTTTTTTTTCTCATTTTGTCTGTCATAGTTGACGTGTACCTATGATGAAAAGTATAGGCCTCTCTCATCTTTTTAAGTGGGAGAACTTGCACAATTGGTGATTAATACTATATGTGTGTCACCGTGTGTGTGTGACCAGGTAATTCTCTCTCCCAGATCAAAAACAAGTCAAAGTTGTTTATGGGGGCACTCTGACACACTGGGATGGTTGATGTTTCACAGAGAGAGCATTTTTGTACTGTGTCTGTATGCCTCTCAAGCATACAGATGTCTCAATCTGTGTGTGTGTGTGCATTCCTCCGGTCCACATTATTGAGCTATCTAAAGATGAGCTCAGGTCTGAACAGAATCCATGCCCTGTGGCCATGCTATGCTAGAGACATAGCGTCCAGCAGCATAGGCAGGGTCAGAGGTGAGAGGTCAGTCTTTGACATACCTGTGGGCAGGCTGAGACAAGTCTGCTTGACTGCCTCCTGCATGGCTGCCTGTCTCTCTCTCCAGCACAGGTGGTCCTCACTCTGTCATCACCCTTATAAAGGACAGTTATTTTGGCCCTTAAAGGTAATTGGAAGGTGATCTGAAGTCTTGAGTGGTTTGTGAAAACCATCAATTACAGTGACCACACAGTCCATTCATATTTGCTCAGGATAACATTTCCTAGATGAAAATCAGACCCAAATCAATAGCAAAATTAGAGCATGGATTTGAACTTCATTGCCTCGTCTAGGCTAGGTCAAACGTTTTTGAATAGCGCTTAAGCTTTCCCTGAGAGACAGCTTAATTCAAGGCTTTATTGTGAAGTAAAAGTGCCTGGACTCTGGAGTAGACAGCTCCAAAACACCGCATGAGTGACCAGTAGACACCACAGAGACGATTACTAGTTGTGTGTGTGGGACTGAGTGTGTGTGTGTGTGTGTGTGTAGGGGGGTAAGAAGACGTGAGGTAGCTTGCCAGAGAGGAGGGCCTGTATCTCCCAGAGTGATCAGAGAAAGGGTCCTTGCTATCTGGGATCCATGGGACATCCCTACCCCATTGAAGTTTACATTTAAAAGGGTTAGGGTTAGATTAAGGATGGGGGTTAAGGTTAGGGTTTAGGGTAGGGATAGCACTAACCTCAGAGAGAGCTCAAAGGGCCACCTCTTTCCTGCTTATCTCCGCTCTCTTTCCCGTCTCTTTCTTCTCCTTACCATTTTGGGATGGAAGGTGTCCCAGAAGAGGGGTGGGACACATGTTGAGGCGCGTGCGTTTGCAGTGTGTGTTTTCTTGGGCATACAGTATGTTTGTGTAAGTGGGTTTGTGTTTCTGTTCAGCTGGCAGGGAAAGCTGTCGAGTGAGACGGTGAGAGGGCCAGCATGCTGTAGCATGCCACTGGGTCAGGAATATTTTAAGCAGTCCTCTCGCTCTGGGCCTGTGTGTGTAACTGTGTGTGTGAGTGAGTTTGTCTCTGTGTTTTTTGTGCATGTTGAACAGTATGTGCTTGTGTGCATGTGCCTCTGTTCACAAATTCACTGGTGCATTTTCATTCAGTGTTTTTAGCCCTAATCAAATACATGATGAAGTCATTACATGGAAACATGGCAGTATTCTGACGTTGACAGATGCAGCTCCCAATAAAAGAAACGCAATCAAACGATTAGCTAAAGGAAAAAGTGATGCTGCTCTTAACCCAGTTACTGAAGGGCATTTCCATCTAAAATGACTCATGAGCACCAACATGTGAAGCTCATAGGAGCATGTCAAATTGGGTGTCAAATCAAAACTAAGAGTCTATATTTTTTTTCAAAAACATTTTCCAACTATTTTCCATTCCAAAAATTTAGGAATAAGCAAAGGCTTTGATTTCTGGTCAAACAGATGGAAAAGGGGTCATAGACAACATCTACCAGAAAGTCTTAAAAGGTATTATAAATGCATCAAAACAAAATATTGAAGTAAAGACCCCTGCCAACTAATATCAACACTTATATTTAGTTTTGTAGAAATTATTTGCCTCCTGTAAGTTTAAGAAACATTGTCTTGTGCCTTGTAATTCCGTTACCAAAAACCCACATTATCTTTAAGATATTTTCTAATTTCTCTCCCTCGTGAGGAGGGAGGATAATGAAAGTTCACAGAAGTAATAAGTAAAGGTAGACCTGCCAGTTAGTTATAGTGTTTTTACTGATATCAAGTTTATGAATTATTAAGTGATTAAAACTCATAATTCTCATAATTCTGTTATTGAGTTGGCTACAATGGGAAATCATAGTAGTCACAAACCACAGTTGGGTCACCTGCTACTGTCCTCCCTTCCACTGGCGTACTGTAATGTTCAGCTCATAACTGTTTTTTTACTCTTTCTGTCTGGTGGTCAAAGCAAGACTGTGAAAACAGTCAGGACAACCCCTCCCTCTCACTGTCCCTCTCTCTCTGCCACACTCTCTTCTCTCTCTTCTCTCTCTCTCCAGTTAATGTCACCTCTCCCGGCTGTTACTGACACCTACCCTCTTTCCATTTACTGTAACGGGCATCCTCACCCACTGAACACCGACCGACACCGGATGTCCATGGATGTTGAAAAATAGTAGACATTTGGTCAGTCCGCCCTAGTCGGACCACATCTGAACAATTCATAGGTCTAAATCTATGCTTCACAAGTTTGGACAGCACAGTAAAGCGTAGAGTACAGTAGTTACTGTACAGTAGAGTAGAGCACACTAGAGTAGAGTACAATATAATGTATTGCCGCATTGACGTCTATGATTGTTTCTGATTTGGTTTGGTCCAGATCAACCAAATGTGGTCTTGTTTGGGGGCGGAGCTCATTGCAATAATAGCCAGTGTGTAGAATAATACCCAAATATGCAAAATAAGGATATTGCATATTTCTACCTTAGTGTACCTATTCAGGATACATCACCATGAAGATAATTATCTTTGTGTCCATAAATATGCATTTCTGTATAGTACAGATCAGACCCCCATGATGTAATTCCGTTACTGTAATATCCAAAATATATTTTTTCAAACTCAAGGTGGCATGTCATAGCTGACACCCCATTCTTTCTGCAGACAGCTTTGAATCTTAATTTGGAGTAGATATTAGATTTTTTTGAAAACGTGGTTGCATAAAAACTTCTGTTACCAAACTTTGCATCTGCACAGTTCTTCCAGTAAATGTGTTTTTGAAATTGTCTGTGTAAATTGTTCAGAGCATTCCTTGTTCGTGGAGTTGTATGGTCTGTTAAACTTTGAAATCAATGGTTTTTGTTTGACATACATTTTAAAGTGAAACTGTAATTACATTACCGTGGAATTCGGGAATTTTTCTACCATTGAAATTATTGGGCGGGCCACAAGTTTTTTTTCGGTAAGAAAAATATATTTTCAGGATGGAGAAACGCTTTCAGTGTAAACTTAAATGACTAAAGCTGTATGTAGAAAAGACAATGGAGCTATATATTTTTAAATACCGTAAAACTTCAATGAATAGCTTAAATCACTGAACACAACAGGTGCTTATTAGAGATAGGCATCTATTTGAGTCAGGTGTCAGCTTTTGCTAATTTACATTTACGTCATTTAGCAGACGCTCTTATCCAGAGTGACTTACAGTTAGTGAATATATTTTCTTTAATTTTATACTGGCCCCCCATGGGAATCGAACCCACAACCCTGGCGTTGCAAACGCCATGCTCTACCAACTGAGCTACATCCCTGCCGGCCATTCCCTCCCCTACCCTGGACGACGCTGGGCCAATTGTGCACCGCCCATGAGTCTCCCGGTCGCGGCCGGCTGCGACAGAGCCTGGATTCGAACCAGGATCTCTAGTGGCACAGTTAGCACTGCGATGCAGTGCCTTAGACCACTGCGCCACTCAGGAGCAATTTACATAGTTAATTGTTTAATTCCAGCATTCACTTCCAGAATTGTAATCAATTTCTTCATTTCCTGCACAAATGTGTTATCATTTACACACTGTCACGTTTATTTTGTCTTAGTATGCCTCTCTCTCTCCCCCAAAAATATTTTCCTTGACAATAATTATTCTCCTTTGACTGTGCATTTTAGGCAGTTCTTACTTTTGCCACTAGAGGCAGTTTGTCTGATTTTTCTAGGGTTCTGTATTCTCAAAGTTGTTGACTGTTTTTGTGCTTGCCAGTTAGCTAGCAGTTCTCAGCTGTTAGCAGCCAATGGCTATATACATTTCTTAATGGTGATTAAAAAAAGATGATTGCCATAATTTTTCGAGTCATTACCGAATTATTTAATGTAACAAATCAAACATTAAACAGCTTAAACATTCATGGTAACCTCGTAAACAATTCATTTAGACTCGCAGTGTCTTGAAATGGGCGTTCATTTGCTGAAATGTGTGCCGTTGCCCGGCTATTAAAAGGGACAGGTGGCTATTTGAGACTCAACGTTTAATTGAAGTTTTACGGTACTATAATCTTTGAGAACTAACAATCACCAAAAGAAAAGCTAGACAATCATGGAGAATTGAAAATTCCAAAAACAATGAATTTATCAGTATTCATTTTGTTATTATGTTTAAGCAAAAGAACACAGCATTAGTTATGACAATGCATAGAATTAGATTTAAAACGGCAAACAATTCTCTACACCGCCAAGATGGGGGCCTCTAAAATTGTATCTGAAATTCAGCCGTGGGCCGGTCGCGGTCATTGCCACGCCCCCCTGCCACGCCCAGGAATTGCCCTGTATCAACCATTTATTTTATGTCAGTAAGTGATATTTCAGTGCTCCATTAGTACAACCCCCTCCTGGGTCGCATTAGCCCAGATACTGTACCCTGCAGTCGGTCCCACTCACCCCTCTCACTCTTTCTCACTCCCTCTCACACCAAGTCCATTAGTGTTATCTAGAGCCAGCCCTGACCTGAGAGGGGCTGGGCAGGGGGGTGGGGCAGGGTGGGGAGTGGGAGCAGTGGCTGAGGGCTATCTCCTCTAGAGGTAAGGATCCACAGTAGGGGTCAGAGGTCAGCCTGGGGTATCTCCCACACCCAAATTGCTATAAATTCTCCCTTTGGTGAAGGTCCTGTAAGTACTTGATTGAGTCTTTCCATACAATCGGTGTTAACAGGGAAGTGTAAAGCCTAGGCCCATTGTGTGTCGGTTTTGCGGTCTCTGGCTCTTTTTGCAATGATAAATGTGTCAGTAGACAGTCCAACGTACCGGTCGGATCGCCCCCTCCTGCCCTCACCCCCCAATTCCCTGTCTGTCAAAACTAATGAGTCCTCCTTCTGCCCCCTGCTCCTCCATGTTAGCTTTCAGACAGCCCCCCTCCTGGTGCCCTCCCAGCATGGCCCCCTATCTACCCCATCATCCTATCCTCCTGACACATCTCACCTGCCGGATCCCCCTTTATCCACCTCAGCCCCTGCCCTCTTCTGTCTGTCTGGCTGTCTGAAGCTCTTCCAACCACAGACAAAACCACTAAACCAAACAGTCTGACAGCCCAGTCCTCACTGTACATATCTTACATTCATTAAACCCTCCCCATACTATTGCACTGCAGACAGACAGCCGCCTCTGCAGCCACCCAGCCTGAACCACACACACCCTTACCTTCACGCTACGCCACAGACCACCAAACCCCTTTACATACATACCACAGAGACCGCCAGGCAGGCAGGCCCCTTTATGTTCCCCTACTCTCCCAGTCAGCCATCCCTCACCACACATGCCCTTAACTCCAGAGCACGGCTGCAGTGCTGCAGGAAGAAGTCAGTGGAGAGAACAGAGAGGCTAGGGGAAGCGTGTCTGGACCTGGCGACAGCTACAGTAACAGTTACACAGCCTGGAGACTGGAGACAGCACTACCAATGGTGGGTGGGTGGGAGGGGGATTGAGGGGGAGGGGGGTTCAGAGGGGAACAAGCACCTATGGCTTGGAAATTGGAAGTAGGCTATAGCTACAGTCTCATCTCTTCCTCCTGACTTGTTTTTCGAGTTAGCTCTGTTGTTTCGTAGGAACTATGGACAGATAGTGTTGCTGCCTATGGAAAGATAGACTGTGTATCGAGTGATTATGTTAGTGATTATGTGTACAGTAAATAACATTCTGGTTGTGTGTGTATGTGAGTCCAGCTGCAGCAGATGCTGCTGATATCAGATAGTCAGTGAGATGCCGCAGGGCTGTTTTGGTTTCCCAGGCTTTGTCCCTCGATGATCAGTCTTTTTGTGTAGCCATCAGGGCAGACAAAACAGTGAACAGTGCACCCAGTTAGAACAATCCAGACAATTTAGGAGAGGGGGCAGCAACGTTTCCCACCACCGTTCCCCCCTATCCTGTACCACCTGGATTGGCCACCAAGTAAAAGCTGGGAGAAAGGACACTGTAGTGCTCATCCACACACACATTCGCACAGGGCAGACACACACACACACACACACACACACACACACACACACACACACCATACCTATAATTAGGAGGATGGTGGTTTACTAATCATAATCACAGCCCTGGTGCCAATGACTTCATTTCCTCCTGTCTGAGGTGTACCTGGCTCACCCCTGTATAGTGTCCGTGTGTCCGTGTGTGTGTGTGTGTGTGTGTGTGTGTGTGGGTTGCACACCCAGCTACTATTTTAAACAAAGACTCTTTGTCTTTAAATGTTAGGTGAAACACAAAAGACGTCTGGGTCTACTCTGTGACTCTCACTGACTCAACCCAGATAGATATCACACACACTATGTTGTGGCCAGGACACATTGTCTAAGAACAGGGAATAAAAGTCCAGCTCTGTATAGTAGACACAACTACCAGTTACAATATAGTAAGACAAACTCTCCTACGGTGCTATTATTAGGGATTACAGCAGGGCTTACTAACATTAGAATAACAGCACCTCTCCATGTAATGATTCACTACACCAGTAGCATATTCGTTTCTCTGCAAGATTGACTGCTGGATAAACAAGCAGCTTAGACCTGAGGTTGAGAACCAGAGTCCCTGGCACTGGTCCTAGAGGCCTGCCTGGCTGAAGAGAGACGGACCACCCCTGGAGGGTAGTAGGGTAGCGTTCTCCTCTCTGCCCCAGTGACTGTCCCCTCCCCTGCCCCAGCCCATGACTGTCACCTAAAACGTTGGTTGATGCATTGTTGAGTAGTAGGCTATGTTACAGTCTAGTATTGATATTCATGTGTTAATAATATACTAGTACTGTTTAGTGAAGCTATTAGTTTGGGTCTATCTGTGTGTTGGTTCAGTGCCTGTCTATAGGTTGTTTGGTTTGCTGTGGTTTCTCTGGCTCCAGGGTGCTTTATTTGGTTAGCTATGGTTGATTGAGGTTTTTGTGGATTGTTTGGGTTTTTGTGTGGCTTGTTTGGTTGCGTGTTAGTCGGTGTGGTGTTTTGTGGGTTGTTTGTGTGTGTGTAAGTGTGGTTTGTGTGTGTATTCTGCTGGACGAGGCGAGGTCTTGTTTACAGAGCAGGTCCCAACAGAGCCCAGTTCTCTGACCCTCACATTCCAGAACCACCGCTAATCGTCTCCGTCTGTGAAACACTTCACCACATCTCTCAATTCTCAATCTCTCTCTCCCTCTCTAGAGCACCCCAACCCCTTATCCACCCCCCTCTCTCTCTCTTTCTCTGTTTGTCCATTTTCCGTACCCCCTCTAACCATGTTTTCTACTCTTTTGAGTTTGATGCTGTTTTATTGACTGGTACACATTATGAGCAATATGCCCTCAAAGCATCCGCATAAGTAACTGACATAATAACTAACATGTAACATCTGCCCCCCTCCTCCTCCCTCCTGCTCTCTGCTCTCTCTCTTTCTGTCTTTATTCATGTTCTCCATGGCTGTTCTGTTTTTTCTCTCGGTTGTTGTTCTCTTCTCACAGTGAGCTCATTCTGGGCTGTGGTCATAGAAGTGTAAATTACAACCAGAAGAGTTTCTTAAGAGTGAGGCACATTTCCCCTCTCCTCTCATTCCCTCTCCCTCTCTCTTCCTGTTTCTCCTCCCTCTCTCGGTCTCTCCCTTTGACTATTTGAAAGCATTCCCACTTTGAGAACTCCGTCCAACAGCACATTTGGCCCGTGTGTGTGTGTTTCTCTCTCCTCTCTGGTTCTCTCTCTCCCTCCCCCTCTCTCTGCTCCGCTCTGCTCTGCTGCTGTGTCCTCTGAGGCTGCTCTTGGCCAGGTGCAGTGGTTTGCTCACAGCTGCCTGACAGGTGAAGTGAGGGGCTCTGGAGTGTCTTTTGTGTCTTGTTGTGAAACCATTTAGAGCCCGTGTAAACCCCAGTGTAAAGACTGGACCTCTACTGGGACTGGCTGATACCTCTCAGACCTCTGAGGTTGTATAGGCTAGGTGCAGGCTCGGTTGACGGTGTGTGTTCTGCTGCAAAACATATCACATACGTGTTCTGTGTGTTCTCCCTGGTTTCACAGTGGTGTGCATTTGGGAAGTTTGTATAAGATGTGTTTTGTGGATTGAGGTCGGTATGTGGCAAACTGGCGGCCTCTTTTTTGTGGAATGTGTTGTTTGAGAGTAGCATTTTGAGGAGCTCTGTAAGCAAGGAGTGTTGTTGGGTCCCGGCCATGTGAGCCGAGCCTGTTTATGGACTTTAACACACATGTGGAAATGACAACACACACATATTTACAGAGCAGTCAATACATCATTGACAGGGTCGCGGTCATAAACCATTAAGTTTGCCTACTGAGTGGTTGATGGCTCCCATTACTGTGAGAAAGTATTGAAAATGGCCATCTAAAGGATCCGGCGCTAACGGCTCAACCAGCCAGCCCCACACTTTTATTATGGCAGTAATGGAGACACTGTCCATTAGCAGACTGACAACCCAGAATAACATTGATTATTCTCAGAAGACCCATTATAACCATAACTCTGCCCCAGATACAGAGAGAGAGAGGGAGAGCGATAATTGTGGTAAAAAAGTAGCCTATTGTGGTAGATGGACAGAGCGTAGACACCACCATGACATGTGTTTTCAGAGTAAAGCTATAAACCCTATAAAGGGTTTCAGCCCCCTGACCTTGTCAGTGTGTGGTTGAGTCAAGAGAACCACATCTCTCTTCTGGGTCGTTCCATATGATTTCAATCACTTTCTGACTGCATCCCTTTTTGATTTGAACGAAACCTTCCATACTTGTTTGCCCATGTTGGAAGTGGTCAGAAAGTGACTTTTTGGACCTGAATGCCAAAACATTCAGGAGATAGAGGTGCTCAAAGTTGACCCATTTTGCCTACCCCACCATACCATGAGACATCCATGTCTTCATCACTGGAAAAGATAAACGGTTGAGTTTGATATCATTTAAAAGCTTACAAATAGGGTTGTCAAACTGTTTTATGATTTATAGATTTGTTTTTTGTCATCAATTATCTAAAAACGCGTGAACTCCAATTTTTTTTGGGTAGCTTACACCCTATTTTCCATAATCTTGTACCTGCCATTGGTTGACACACAGCACAGTCTTATGTTTTGGCTGATACATATACTAAAATGTGAGTAAAGTTGAGTTTTCAACTTTCAAATGGTACCACAAAGATTGTGGGAGGTCCACACGTTAGAGAATGTTGACTTATCCGTTGTTATAAATTAAACTGTCAATCTTCCATAGGAAATCTATTGAAATCATAGAACTATAGGATAATAGAATATACATTCCCATTCAAGTTGACATTCAATGGTGGGTGGACTGGCGGCCATCTTTCTGGTAGTAATTGGAAGTTAAAGTTTCAATGTCAATGGTGTACCAGCTAAATTGCAGGGGTCTGAAGGGATAGGTCCATTCTATTAATTATATTTCTATGATTTGAAATGACACCCAGCCTGTATTCAAGAGTAGGCTGTCTCAACCGATGACGGGCACAACACAAAATCCACAGATGTAAAATAGGTCTAAGCTACAACATTTGTGGAAAGAAAGAAAAGTCTGAGTTTACCAATTACCAAGTCATTGGTTCATTCTGGACCTTAACAGGTGTGATTGGTTCATTCTACAGGTGTGTGACAGCTAGGGTTAAGATGAGTTTAGGCAGAGAGGAAGAGGTGAAGCGAGAGGCATAACTGGTCCCAAAATCTGTCTTCTCCAGCAGGTGGCGTTTTGAAATGTCCCTTTAAATTAAAACCCAAAATCTAATTTTTGTTTCATGAATTTTTCGATATAGCGAATTATGACTTTGTGGCTGTGGTAACTAGTGGAAACCGTTGTGCCTGTTGTTCACATGCGTATCTGCCCTCTCATTGGCTAGAATGGTCCCACCTGATCTTGCCCCCATCCCAACTCATTTTTAAAGAAATGTATTTTCATTGTTAGAGCGGCCACTAGAGTATCTGGTCAATATAATAGATAATCTGTGGTTTAGGGCATATCTCGCTCTTGAGTCTCTTCACTCTATTTCCCAGCTCAGGCGTAAATACATACCTAGATCGATAAGAGGATTAAGGTTAGAGAGAGATTCTGTTTGAAACAGGTTTGGGACCAGCAACCCGTCATCATGCTGTACAGGGTGTTCACCAGGGGACATCTCTGGGGAACTGAATGCCATAGTGATGCACCGTGCTGATTTCTACAGGGCTAACCCAAAGCAGGTGGTTCATATTCCAAATGTTTTTGTGTTGTGAATAATCTAGGCTACCTCACGCTTTTGGAGTTTTCTCATGACCCAGAACCACCAAGTAAACAAAATCAGGGTTTCTAGCCAGGCCAACCCATATCATCTGTGACCCACAAGGTCTATTCAGTAAACACATTTCTTAGACGAATCTCCTCCTCCAGAGTATTTAACCTGATTAGACCACAGTAATCATGCCTCTATTAGATTCACCTGACTGACTGGAACTCTCTCTGTTGGGGGGGGGGGGTTCAGTTCATCAAAGGAAGCTGGAAGGCCTTCAAAGACACTTAAAGGGATAGTTATGGATTTTGCCATTGAGGCCATTTATCTACTTCCCCAGATTGGAATGAACTCGTGGATACCATTTTTATGTATTTGCATCCAGTATTAATGAAGTTAGAGGTAGTTTTGCAAGTTGCTAACGCTAGTTAACAACTTCCTTCAAACTGCATGCAGATACATATAAAAATTGTATCCACAAGTTTATCTATTTTCCCAGAGACAGATGAAGGGCCACATTGCCAAAATCCTGGGCTACCCATTTAAGAACCAAAGTAAGGCCTCCTGATGCATATAAAACGTATTTACCTTAATCTCTGTCTTTGTACTGAGTCATGGTATTGGGTCCAACTCCAGCCAGCCACTATCTCTCTCTTTGGGAGAGATCTGACCTTTCTACAGTGGTCTGGAGTTAGGCCCTTGCGTGATGTTAGAGGCTCTGTAGAGGGCTGCAGCTTGGAGTCGCACACCACGGTGTGTTTATGTGCGTGCCGAGTGTGCATGTCATGCACGTGTTTGTACAATGTGTGTGTGTGTGTGTAGCCTAAACGCGTCTGAAATGAGGAGCATGTGATTCTGGCAGGAGAAGTAGATCAGGTAGAGATCAGGGTCAGGTGAGATGTTTTCTCTGTCTCTCTCTCTGCTCTCTCTCTTCTTTCTCTCCCCTCTGTCTATCTTCTCTCTCTCTGCTGTCGTCAGAGCCTCTGCTATCTGCCTGCAACGTGTTTCCCTCTCCTCTCCCTCCCTCCCTCCCTCTGTCTTTCTGGCCCTCCCGTGCCTTCTCTTAACCAGAGGATATGGTGTTATCTGTGTTTGGTCTTTCTCTCTGACAAACACATACTTCCAGTAATAGCAAAAGTCACAAGCAGACATTGGCTGTATACTACAGTAACTTTACCCTGTTTATAAGCCAATGACGCTACACTACTTCCTCGTTTTCATTCATAAATTGTATTGGTGCTTATGTACATTGATATGTGTGTAGGTTCTTAACTGTATGTCTTGGGGTGAAAGGGTGGGTGGATGGATGGATCGGTTTTGGTAGTATTTATGATTGACTGACTGGGACTGTGAGTGAGATATCTGCAGAGTATTCATGGTTATATAGTTCAGGTAGACTGAAACCTTTTGAACTCTGGTAGGGTCACTGAAGGTCACACTGAAGGTCAGTGAGCCATGTCCTACTCACCATCTGCTACTATTGATATACTGTCTCTAATGGTGTGTGTGTGTTGTCCTCTCCTCCTGTCACGTAGTCTCTGAGATTTCCTGGCAGCAGCAGTGTTTGCCTGGGCCCATTCCAGTTCCAGGCTCTATGATGAGGGAGAGGTTAATCATTAGTCCCATGCTCTCCCTGTTCTATGGGGGAGAGGGCCATGGTGGGACTCATCTCTGACAACTACTTCCAGTAAGACACAAGTAGAGGATACATGATGTAGGACTACATGATTAGCCTGTTTATACATGACGGGTAGAGGACTACTGTCGGTCATAACTAAATGTTTGGTGCTAGGTACATTGATGGGTAGAGGTCTTACATGTATGGGGTATGGGTGACAAGGGGGGTGGATGGAGGACTCATGTTGGTAGGTATCTTATGATTGGTGAGGGAACTGATGGTGAGGACTAATATGGAGTATTATGGATATGTGGGGTAGACTGAACCTGATTGTAAACTCTGGTAGGGTCACTGAGGTAGGACACATGGAAGGTCATGTGAGAGGTCCTACAATGCGTGCTACTATGTGAATACTGATCGGTAATGGTACTGATGGGTGTGCCATTCTCTTTTCAATTTTTAGTCTTGAGACCTCTATCCATGGCCTGCCGTTAGTTGCATCTTATAATGATGGGAGTTGAATCATACCCACACCCTGTCATATGGGTAGGGGCTACGACAGAGTGGGAGCTAGGGCATAGGACTACATGATGGGGTAGAGGACTACATGATGGTAGAGGGGCTGTGGGGAGCAGAGAGAGGAACTAGAAGGATCGTTTGGAAGTTCAGAATGAGTATAGTGGGGTAGATTTAATTTCAGATCTAGCTTTGTATTTGATTTCATCCGCCTGTGCTGTGTGACTGTTGCCAGTATCATAACGAGGTTGCACAATCTTTACCCAGTGAACTTTCACCAGCAGCAGGGCAGGCTGCAGCGAGGTTTGTTTGCTTAAGAAAGCCAGACCTTGACCACCCTCCTTTACGCCTTCCTTGCACACTAACTTTTAATTGGTTAGCCAACCAGGAAATGAACTTGATACAGTATTAACAAACCTTCAAATAGGAAAGTAATGTGTTACTACATTGATTTAATAAATATTCTGCCAATACAGTGGTAGTTAATGGTTAATGTTGTACGCTCCTTGTGCGTCTCTGTGCCACACTACACTATTTCTATTCCCTTATTATTGGACACAATAGACTACTCTGTTCCCTTTCTATTGGAAGTATCTGCAGTCACGGTGTAGCCTATACTGTAGCCTGGCTATTAGTTTACTGTAAAACCCTTTGGCTTTCACCACATTGTCATTTTCTGTGTAATAAACTCTCTCGGTCTCCTCTGTTCTCCTCTCCTCCTGAAAAATCCTTCATTCTGCACGGTTCTCTCTCTCTGTTTCTGTCTCTCTCATCTCCCCTTCCTCCAGCCTCTCTGGTGGAACTCCAGTATGTAAGGAATGCCTGATCCTTTGGGAGATCTTGAATCCAGTCAGTGGATGACTGACAACCAGGCCTATATCCTGTCTCCTAAACCCTTCTCATATAGAACAGGATCAGGGACCAAGGATCAATGACACCTCTTTGTCTTGGCTCACTGTGTGATGCGTTATGAACTTACTATTTTCTCATACACACGTGTGCTTGCCCCACCCACCCACATACACCTTAACCTTCTCTCCATATCTTTACCTCTTTCTATTGTCTATCTCTTCATCTCCCTCTTAACTGTGTCTAAACCCTCCTCTCTCCCTGTCTCTCCAGCCTCCATCCCGTTCTTTGCATGTGAGCTGAAGGCTGTGACTCCATACCGGAGGGGTTTCTTCTGTGGGGACCAGAGCATCACCTACCCCTACCTGGAGAGAGAGGCCATCCCTGACACGCTGCTCATCGCTGGGGGCATCATCATCACTGGCCTCACGGTGAGATTCACACACAACACAACACAGCACAACACACACTGTAGGATCTTACTGAGTATATACACATTACATACTATCACCACTTACACACTCACTGGAAGTACAGTGAGGGGAAAAAAGTATTTGATCCCCAGCTGATTTTGTACGTTTGCCCACTGACAAAGAAATGCTCAGTCTATAATTTTAATGGTAGGTTTATTTGAACAGTGAGAGATAGAATAACAACAAAAAAATCCAGAAAAACGCATGTCAAAAATTTTCGCAAATGGAAGAAACACAAAAGACCTGTCAATCTCCCTCGGCCTGGGGCTCCATGCAAGATCTCACCTTGTGGAGTTGCAATGATCATGAGAACGGTGAGGAATCAGCCCAGAACTACATGGGAGGATCATGTCAATGATCTCAAGGCAGCTAGGACCATAGTCACCAAGAAAACAATTGGTAACATACCAAGCCGTGAAGGACTGAAATCCTGCAGTGCCTGCAAGGTCCCCCTGCTCAAGAAAGCGCATATACATGCCCGTCTGAAGTTTGCCAATGAACATCTGAATGATTCAGAGGAGAACTGGGTGAAAGTGTTGTGGTCATATGAGACCAAAATGGAGCTCTTCGGCATCAACTCAACTCGCCGTGTTTGGAGGAGGAGGAATGCTGCCTATGACCCCAAGAACACCATCCCCACCGTCAAACATGGAGGTGGAAACATTATGCTTTGGAGGTGTTTTTCTGCTAAGGGGACAGGACAACTTCACCGCATCAAAGGGACGATGGACGGGGCCATGTACCGTGAAATCTTGGGTGAGAACCTCCTTCACTCAGCCAGGGCATTGAAAATGGGTCGTGGATGGGTATTCCAGCATGACAATGACCCAAAACACATGGCCAAGGCAACAAAGGAGTGGCTCAAGAAGAAGCACATTAAGGTCCTGGAGTGGCCTAGCCAGTCTCCAGACCTTAATCCCATAGAAAATCTGTGGAGGGAGCTGAAGGTTCGAGTTGCCAAACGTCAGCCTCGAAACCTTAATGACTTGGAGAAGATCTGCAAAGAGGAGTGGGACAAAATCCCTCCTGAGATGTGTGCAAACCTGGTGGCCAACTACAAGAAACGTCTGACCTCTGTGATTGCCAACAAGGGTTTTGCCACCAAGTACTAAGTCATGTTTTGCAGAGGGGTCAAATACTTATTTCCCTCATTAAAATGCAAATCAATTTATAAAATTTTTGAAATGCGTTTTTCTGGATTTTGTTGTTCGTTATTATGTCTCTCATTGTTCAAATAAACCTACCATTAAAATTATAGACTGATCATGTCTTTGTCAGTGGGCAAACGTACAAAATCAGCAGGGGATCAAATACTTTTTTTCCCTCACTGTAGATGTATTTATAAGCCATTCAATATTTAGCCTTTATTTAGTCAGGTCATTGAGAACACATTCTCTTTTACAATATGCTGAGAAAGTGTGGCGTCATTTCTCTAGCGGTGTCTACCTCAGCATATTGACTAAGAGGACTGCTTCTAACTCTTGCACCTCCTTTTCTTCCCTGGCCAGATTGCGCTGGGCGAGTGTCACCGGGTTCGATTCCGTGAGGTGCACTCGCGGGCGTTCGTGCGCAACCTCTACGTGTCCTGCCTCTACAAGGAGCTGGGCAGCTTCCTGTTCGGCTGCTGTGTGGGCCAATCACTGACCAACATGGCCAAGCTGAGCGTGGGGCGCCTGCGACCTAACTTCCTGTCGGTGTGCAACGTGACATACGCCTCGCTCAACTGCGTCCCCGGCTCCTACATGGCCCAGGTCACCTGCAGGCAGCCCAAAGACAAGATGGTGGAGGAGGCCAGGTCAGTCCCGAGAGAGACGCCTTCCCTATTCACACTATAGGGCCAAGCCGAGCCAAACCTGGCCAAACTGCTCTGGCCTGGTTATGTATCCACCATAGTTGCTGGAACCGTGGAGTAAAGGACAATGGGAAAATAAAATATCAGAACTAGCACTGTACAGTTGTGGTTGGTCCTGTAATGTGAATCAAGCTTCAGTGCATCAGAGTTGGGCTCAATGTTGGGCTGAATTTTTCCATTGTTATGCAATCCTGAAAAGTCATGAACTGACTGGAATTTAGAATGGAATAGACCCAAACGCCGAAAGCCTAGTCAAAGTGAAAGTTTGTCTTTGTTAGAAACTGTTGGAATGATTTATTGCCATAGATTGAGATGGAGCAATATTGACACTAGATCACTGGGTTAATGATTAACATCCCTGTTATCCCTTTATGTTTCAGGAAGTCCTTTTTCTCTGGCCATTCCTCTTTTGCCATGTACACCATGCTCTACCTGGCGGTAAGTGTCACTGGCGATTGGAGAGACACACGTGCCTGTGGCGACATAGAACAGCACACCTGCCAAGTAACATTTATACACCTGAAGTCACCTGCTTTAGCTGGGATTACTGCATATTTGTTGAAGGAATGAAATAATGATTTATGACAGTTTTTCACTTTCACTGCAGTTATGAAAGAAAATATTGGACACTTTGTCCCTGTAGAGACAGAGTGCACACTCACTCACACACGCACGCACAAAAACCTCAGACATTCAAGCACACTCACATACACACATTGTACATGCAAACTCTGAAAGAAGAGGCCTCTGAGAAAAGCAACTTTTCAAAAGGCATCCTGCCTCAAATGAAAAGAGAGGGAGAAAGAGTGAGGAAAGGTTTTCCACAGGGAACATGAATAGATGGAGAGCAGACAGAGCACTCCTTGTTTTGGGTCGGGGGAGGGGGGGGGGGGGGGGGGGGCTGCTGAGAGATCGACAGGCTTCTTTCAACAAGAGAACCCCACTTCTCTCTCTCTCCTCTCTCTACTGGACCATTGGTGAGGAACACATTGTGGGGGGAGAAATGACAGAGGAAGACAAAAGCCCATCATGGCTCAAGCATTTGTTCCCGTAATGTATTCATTCACATTCTAAATGGTATTCCTCCTCTTCATTAAGTCTCCAATGGTCCGGAATATGACTGGAATAATCGCAAAACTATTTACGGGAAATATATATGAACATTTCAATCTGAGAAAAGGAGAGAAATCACCATTCAAAAACATTGTTAATAGATTTATTGGGTCCTCCACTCACCTCCTAATCACCCACTTATCAGAAAGGGACAGAGAGAAAGAGAGAGTGAGGCATTGAGAGCAGTTGAGTGGCCTGAGAAAAACGGGGGGCCTCGTTCTTCGTTCTCTCCTCCCTCCCTCCATCCTCCCGCCATCCCATCTGTGGCGTATAGCTAGTGTTACTACTGCAGACTGACTGTATCCTTTAGAGTGCATGGGACCTGCAGTGACATGCAGCCAGGGCCCTGGCTTCCAGTCAGTGAGCCAACCCCCCCTAACCAGCTCCCCTCCCCCTCCAGAGGAATGTGTTCCACATGTTCCAGTGACAGGCCCAGGCAGCAGTCACCTCATAAACAGCACCATGCATCTCCGCAGTTAACCCCTGACCCCCCCAGTCAGTCTCTGTCTGGTCCCTGACTGACACTCCTCCTCTACTGTAGTAATGATGGGGCCTGGAGGGCGAGATGAGATGGAAGAGAGGTTTATTAGGGTGCTGAGCCCAGTGTGGATGGAGTAATGCCAGGTCCTCTTCCTTACCCTCTGGACGTCTGTGTGTGAACTGTGTTTAATGTACCATGTGACCAGATCACTGTCTAAAGAACGAACTACATTGCAGTTCATACACACACCACAGACGCATGCAAACATGTATGAAAGTGCCTACGCACACACACACACACACACACACACACACACACACACACACACACACACACTCTTCTCATATTTGAAGGCTCTGAACATGTGACCCTGCTCTCCTTCTCCAGTTCTACCTGCAGGCGAGGTTGTCATGGCGAGGGGCTCGTCTGCTGCGCCCGCTGCTGCAGTTCCTGCTGGTGATGATAGCCGTGTACACCGGGCTGAGCCGCATCTCCGACTACCGCCACCATCCCACCGACGTGATCACCGGCTTCATCCAGGGAGGCCTCACCGCCTACTGGGTGGTAAGTGTCTGTCTCTCCCCTCCCTCTGGCTGTATGGAGCTGTGGGACTGCGAACAAATGTGTCCATGTATGATCTCCTATGTAAGTCAGGCTTACAGGATGAAATAATGTCAACAATGCCTGCCTAAACAATGACAGGGGCATCACATGTCCTATCTATCTGCCTATACAATCTGTATTTGGTGGGACCTTATCTGGCTCAGGCTGAGCAGTATAACCAGTCTCTCTGGTGGTTGGGATATCTGTCTTGTGTTTGACGGATTCTCTTGGTTGTCTTTGTGTGTTTGACGGACGGTGTTCAATCTCTATGTATCTGTTTGACGGACAGTGTTCCATCTCTATGTATCTGTGTTTGACGGACAGTGTTCCATCTCTATGTATCTGTGTTTGACGGAAAGTATTTTATCTGTGTCTCTCTCCAGGCCTTCTATATTTCCTCCATGTTTAAGAACAACCGTCCAGACCTGTCTCCCACCAGCATGTCCCTGGAGAGTCCCCTGTCCAGCCAACAGACCGTCTGCTAGCACCACCTAACCCAACACACCCCTCCTCACCTTCCTGGACCCGGACGGATGGGAGAAAAGACAGAAAGAGAGAGGGAGAGAGGGAGCGAGAGACAGTCAGATAGCAGAGGTGAGCAGCACATGGAGGGACAGGGAGGGAGAGAAAGAAATGGGGAGAGGTGTGTGAAAAGGGAGGGGGATGAGAGAAGAGGTAGATGGAGGTAGAGAGCGTTCTAGCAAGCACACACATGCTCTGATGAATACGTCAAGACACATGCACGCACACACAGTGCCACCTCACTCACTAACACACACTACCATCTAACACACACACCCACCAAATCACAGCACATTTGACTGTAGAGTACAACCCGTCCATATGGAGATATGCATAGTAATTTTACAGATATTTTTATATATGAAAAACAACAAAGGTTTCTATTTTTCAAATGGGAGTCGTAGATGAAGCTGCTAATGATAATGATTTGTTTCCTGTTCTAAGTAGAATATGTTTTTAATGTGATGGTGGTTAGTGGGCAGTGCATTAGGTTAGCTCTCTCAAACACACAGTCAGTGAGTGTCACTAAATTATCTTCATTGTTCATCACTTCGTTGGTCATCCTCTGACCAGCCTGGACAATGACATCATCAGCTGGACTCTGTGGATGGTCTGTGACATCATGTAAGGGCTCCACTTCTTCAGCTTGATGCCCCCTGACTCTAATTCTGTGGATGTCTCACTGTGTGAAACAACAAAGTCAGAACTGAACTGTTATTTCAGACCTCTACATGGAACAACAGCCCTGCAAGAAGTGAGGAACCTGGCAACAAATAAGGAACAAGCACTGGCCTCATGTACCCTCTCCATCCTTCACCATTAACCATGTAACCATTGGCCCTCATTCAGACTGCTCTCTGCCTCTAACTACACAGCAACTAGTAGAGGATGTCATGGACAAAGACAAAAGAGAACACTTTTTGTATTAAACCAAGTATCTTATCTTAACTTCAGTTACCCAGGAGTGATAGGGTGGAAATCTGCTTTTCCCAGGTTACGTCCCCTCCCCTTCACTCCCTCTCTTCTCCATGTCTGTACTCTGTACTAACCACTTATTACTGTGTCTCAGAGGCGGAGCTATGACTGAACCCTGTAACCTTTGACCTATTACCCTGACCTCCGACCTCTGAGCTGCACCTTGAGTTATGCCACTCTCACAGGGGAGCCAAAATGGCTGCCTCGTGTCGCCCATGGCACTGGTCCCCTGTATATTCCTATTAATAGCACTTGAACTACGTAATGGAACCTACTCTGATAGTATAATTGATATTATATATATTTTATCTAAAGTTTGAATAATCAGTGTTTTTTTATTTCTCTTAATATGTCACTCTCATACAGTATATATGTTTTAGTTTTTTTCCCAAATTATAATTATTCAAATTGAATGTAAATAGATATGTCCTTTTATAAACCACACAGAATTTCAAAAGTATTATTAGTGCCATTTTTTGACCGTTTTTACATGTTTATATGTGTCTGTGTTGTTGATCAGGTACGCAGAGTTGTTGTTATTGTCATAACGACTAGACTGAGCCAGAGCTATTATCAGTTGTCATAACGACTAGACTGAGCCAGAGCTATTATCAGAAAGCTATATTTCTTGTTTCCAGTTTTACTTGTGTTTTTTGTTTTGTTTTCTCTGTGAATGCCAGTATGGCTGAAAAATAACCACTGTACTCAAAAAACCAAACCAATAAAATGAATGTTGAATCTTTTGACGTCCTATTGTCCACTGATATTCCTTAAAAAGTCTTCACGTTGTAAAGTTTATTACATTTTAAAGCTACAATATGTAACTTTTGGGGTGACCCGACCACATTCACATAGAAATGTTAGTTATACAGTCAAGGTAATATGTACATGTGGGTAGAGTTAAAGTGACTATGCATAGATCATAAACAGAGTAGCAGCAGTGTAAAAGAGGGTGATGTTATCCCATCTGATAGTATGCAAATAGTCCAGGTAGCCATGATTAGCTGTTCAGGAGTCTTACGGCTTGGGGGTAGAAGCTGTTAATAAGCCTTTTGGACCTAGACTTGGCGCTCCGGTACCACTTGCCGTGCAGTAGCAGAGAGAACAGTCTATGACTAGGGTGGCTGGTGTCTTTGACAATTTTTAGGGCCTTCCTCTGACACCGCCTGGTATAGAGGTCCTGGATGGCAGGAAGCTTGGCCCTAGTGATGTACTGGGCCGTACGCACTACCCTATGTATTTTCTTCCTGGCTGTGATTATACACACTTTTTGTCTTACCCCACACAGACAAACAATATTTATGTCATCTGACTGTTTATACAGTGAGGGGAAAAATAAATTTGATCCCCTGCTGATTTTGTACGTTTGCCCACCGACAAAGACATGATCAGTTTATAATTTTAATGGTAGGTTTATTTGAACAGTGAGAGACAGAATAACAACAAAAAAATCCAGAAAAACGCATGTCAAAAATGTTATAAATTGATTTGCATTTTAATGAGGGAAATAAGTATTTGACCCCTCTGCAAAACATGACTTAGTACTTGGTGGCAAAACCCTTGTTGGCAATCACAGAGGTCAGACGTTTCTTGTAGTTGGCCACTAGGTTTGCGCACATCTCAGGAGGGATTTTGTCCCACTCCTCTTTGCAGATCTTCTCCAAGTCATTAAGGTTTCGAGGCTGACGTTTGGGGATGGTGTTCTTGGGGTCAACGGCGAGTTGAGTTGATGCCAAAGAGCTCGATTTTGGTCTCATCTGACCACAACACTTTCACCCAGTTCTCCTCTGAATCATTCAGATGTTCATTGGCAAACTTCAGACGGGCATGTATATGTGCTTTCTTGAGCAGGGGGACCTTGTGGGCGCTGCAGGATTTCAGTCCTTCACGGCGTAGTATGTTACCAATTGTTTTCTTGGTGACTATGGTCCCAGCTGCCTTGAGATCATTGACAAGATCCTCCCGTGTAGTTCTGGGCTGATTCTTCACCGTTCTCATGATCATTGCAACTCCACGAGGTGAGATCTTGCATGGAGCCCCAGGCCGAGGGAGATTATTGACAGTTATTTTGCGTTTCTTCCATTTGCGAATAATCACACCAACTGTTGTCACCTTCTCACCAAGCTGCTTGGCGATGGTCTTGTAGCCCATTCCAGCCTTGTGTAGGTCTACAATCTTGACCCTGACATCATTGGAGAGCTCTTTGGTCTTGGCCATGGTGGAGAGTTTGGAATCTGATTGATTGATTGCTTCTGTGGACAGGTGTCTTTTATACAGGTAACAAGCTGAGATTAGGAGCACTCCCTTTAAGAGTGTGCTCCTAATCTCAGCTCGTTACCTGTATTAAAGACACCTGGGAGCCAGAAATCTTTCTGATTGAGGTGGGGTCAAATACTTATTTCCCTCATTAAAATGCAAATCAATTTATAACATTTTTGACATGCGTTTTTCTGGATATTTTTGTTGTTGTTCTGTCTCTCACTGTTCAAATAAACCTACCATTAAAATTATAGACTGATCATTTCTTTGTCAGTGGGCAAACGTACAAAATCAGCAGGGGATCAAATACTTTTTTCCCTCACTGTATGCTCAACAGAGTAGAGTAAAGAGTCAGTTGTTCGTCACACACACATGACCAGTAAGTAAGTTCAAGCTAAGTTCAAAATATTGAATTCTAAAGTTACAAGTGACTTCACCTTTAGTTTCTGACTGGGAAACTTCTAATAGAACACTCCTAATGTCTCCCACCACCACCCCTCTCCCCTTTCTCCCCCCCTTCTCTACCTCCCTCCCTCTCTCTTTCAATCCTTTTGGAGTGCAGCAGAGCGTGCTGGGCTTTTTCGGCAGTCATGCTGCCATGGCGATGCCTGGCTAGATAGAGGGCTGGGAGGTGGAGGCCTTTTTATTTATTCTCTTTCTTTTCCAGTCCACTTCCTGGCTGAGTGAGGAGAATGAAAGGCAGCTGAGATCAGAGCCAGAGAAAGGGAAGGCTGCAGTAATGGGTTTGTATGGAGGTGAGGAAAGGAGAAGAGGGGAGGGCTGGCATGCAGCGGGAAAAGAGGGGGATGAAGGGAGAAGCTGGGGTTCAGTAATGAAGGGAAGGAGTAATGGAGCAGTGGGGACGGGGTGACGGGGAGGAGGGATTTGAGTGTTGGACGTTGGTTTTCAGGCCTGTTTTGTGTCAATACTGTTACTAAGAGACACGTTTAATTCCTCAGCACTGTATATGCCTGCGCTTGCGAAGGTGTTGTCTATCTGTTTTTGTCTAGGTCATCATCATGTATGTGTGTTTTCTTTTTGGGTGAGCAGGAGAGAAAAGTAGGTCCTCTACTAAGCTTACAACACAGCCTCTCAAACATGACATCTTGTTTGCTCTGTAGATGTCTTCCTTGGTGACCCTTTGACCTGGTTCAAATTAATGGGATTGACAAGCGGAGGCCGATTCTCCCTCCAGTCCATATAGCGGAGGCCAGACTAACTGAGGCGTGTGTCCTGTCTATCTGAAAGGTCCCACTAGCTTCAGCCCTCTCCACTGTGTGAGCTGTGGCTGTAGTTTAGTATACACATGAGAACAGTAGTCCTAGCCGGCCTGTGGTTATTTAGATGGGCTGATTGAGCCCTAATCTCAGCCTGTGAAACACGTTACCGTCTCCACGCTCCATTGTGAAAGAAAATAAAGCACACTTTCTCCCTCTTCCCCATACTTAGGGCTGGGGAATTCGGTTGATAAGACTTTACGTTTTCAGATAAAATACAGGTCTAAAAACAGAATAGTTCCATGGGCGGATGTTTGGGCGGGCGATCAGAATCAATGGTGTGGAGGTAGGGAACCCTGTGATGTGTTGCTACTGCAGGCAGGCTGTCAGGCAGACAGACAGGCACGTAGCTCACCTGCATACCTGTCTAATGGAGGTGGAGGTGGAGAGGACACCTGTATCATACCTGCTGTCTGCCTATCATACTATCAGATGGGATAACATCACCCAGG